ACCTAATGAACGATTACTCGAGTACCCACAGATTAATATTATTTTTTTTAACTGTAAACAAAAAAAGGGTCCGCCTGACACGGACCTGCCAGACCGGAATTGTAGACTTTATGCCTGTAAAATGACATAAACATCCAATATTTAAACATAAATATAAATAAATAACCAACAAAAGAAAGCGATTTCAATTTCAACGATGTCACTAACAATGACGTGTGCTAACAGGGCTAGCAGGCCTTGTGCTTTAAGCGCATGTGGTTCAGCATCAAACTAGTATTTCTATGGTATGTAAGTTTAACGCCACATATCTTGCACTGCACATTAACTTCATCGTTGAAGTACTTCCAGACATAACTTTTCTTGACTGACATGTTGCAGGTGTAGCAGACGGTTCTGTATTTGTTGTGCTTTTGCTTTCGGTGTAATAATATGTTCCTAGAGAGAAACAGATGTTTTTGCTGAAATCTGGCTCAGTGTGTACTAAAACTGAAGCCGTGGCCGGAGAAGTCATACGTTTGTACGTTTCCTACCTAGTATATTCAGTTAGGCGAAAACAAAAAGCTGGGTCACACCGGTAACACTGTATGAGTTCAAGTTTTGTAGCCAAAATCAGCGCTTGCACAGGTGCACAGGGGTCAACGGCGAGTACTCGAGTAGACGAGTACTCGTACCCATCCCTAGTATTAACCACATGAGATGCTCGACCCCTTTATAGAGAAACCAGTGGGCATGTTGGCAGGGAAGCTAGTCTTTGCGTCACTGCAGACGGGGCTCTTTGGACCACATAATGTAGATAATTTAAAAAAAGACACATCTAAATATCAATGTCAATGTTAGCGTATGCTATATTTAGAAAGATTTCACTACTTCAGCTAACTGCACATCTTCTTCCGCCCGTAGAGCACCGATCAGGCTTCAGAAGAACTGGGCTGCAGTAACGTCAAAATCCACAATATTAATATCAGTCTACATGCAAAAATTCAAGTTGACATTTACGCTTTAGATCAAGTGCGCGACAGGATGTACTGTCACAGCACATAAGTCTTCAAAAAAGTGACTTGCTGACTGAAAGCAAAGCGCTGAAAATAATCCTGAATATTGTACACTTCAGTTTGTCATTGATTTTATTTGTCGTTTTCTTTTTCTTAAAATGAGCTAATTAACTATTAACACTAATTGTACAAGAGACCCTGTCTGCTGCTATGTATAGCCTAGCTTCTGTGCTGGTACCCGAGTGTTTTCTCCTTTAAGGGACCGAGCGAGAATACATTTACTATTGACAAGAACCTCAAACAACCCAACTTTGAAAAGTACTGAATGATCATTTTAACTGTTTGCCACCCAGTACTGGAGTGTGTTCCCAGTTTAAATGAGAACAATGTGTTGTTTCAAACTGGGCAATCTTCATGTAGTTTTCAACAACGTCAGAGTTTCATGCCTTCAAAAGTATGTTGGCTGAAAATGTTTGAATCTGGTGTCTGAAGTTAAGCCCCAGATTGCAGGTGGAGCTTCATAACGCTTTTGGATTCTCATGACTCATTTCTCTGTTCTGCTGCTGTACAGACGCCATCTTATCCATACTCGCAGGGGGTTCAACCATCTCAGGTGTCAAACTCTGATTCATCACTCCCCCCTGGTCTGGTTCCCCTCCCCCCACCATACGGCCCGTCCCATCACTGATCCTAACACTCTCCTCTCACCAGTGTTGGATCGCTCTGACACGTGTTTGATTTCCTAATTTTTTAGATTTGTCTGGCTTGAGTGGTTCAGAATGATCAATTATTGATGACAAAACGACAGTTAGCTCAAAGAAATCGAAGCAGGAATCAAGATTTATCCATTACAAGTCATAAGACCCAACTTTACCTCACTTACTCGCTTCAACTTTACCTGACCTTTAAAGACCCTACTGTACCCGACACTATGCCTCATCCTGTTGTGCTCCTAAAGTATATCCAATCAACCCAACTGTACCTGCTCAAACCTGTCTCAACCCCACAACCCCCACCTCTATGCACTCTCCCTGACTCATGCCAACTCCAGTCTTATGTTCCTGACCAAAGTTCCACCATTCTCTATCTTTCTAACTACCTGGCTGATATGTACCTGCCCAAGTTCTACCCCAACATGTTACCTGACGCTGTCTTAACAAATCCACCTGTCCAAACTGACTACACTCCACTCAGTTCTACCAAACCAAACTCCATATCCTACCTGACATAACTCTACCTGTAGAAGTTCTACTCCACAATGCCCAATACAACCCCTCTGTCCTCTCCCCTATTGCACTTTAAACTCTTTCTATGTGATTTTTCTCACTTAAATGTAGAAATCAGTATCTCCTCTGAAAATAACTCTGTGAGTCATGACTGTCTACAATGGGTGTAACACCCGAGTCCCACTGTCTGTGATGTTTTCAGAGTTTTCAGAGTCCTATCTTCACTTTGTTTACATCGCCGGGACGGCCGGCTGACTCCTCCCCTCGTGTATAAAAGTAGTTTAATTGAGGGACTAGAGAAAAGAAGAATAACATACTGTACTCACTGCTTAACTGTGTTTCTAGATCACGCTCATTTCAGGTAAATTTACATGCAGTGTGAAGATACCAGCATAATAAAGATCGCTAGCATTAGCATGCTAACACAACAATGCAGCGTGAGTTGTTTTGGTTTCATGCTGGTGCTCAAGGGCGACATCTGCTGGATCAAAAAATCGCATATAAAGCCTTTAACCAGTCCAGCTCTCATCTACCCTACTGTCCCAAAATAGTTCCACTTCCCATCACACCCTGTGCTCCTCGACTCAGACCTGTCCTGAAACGTCCATCATAGTTCAATAAAACCTCTGAATATTTTTTTTCAATCTTATAGCATGACATCATTTATTTAATCAGATTTGAATTGAACAAAAGTGAGTCTTTAAAGTTGCTCTCAGATATGTATATTCTGACTGATTCCTGCTCAGATGTGTTTGGGCTGGTGCAGTAGTTTTGTCATTGATAATCCTCCATAGGCCCCACCCCTTTAATGAACTGGTTTTCAGTTGTAAGTGGTGACCAGTAGGACCCTCCTGCACTCCTTCGCCTCCCTGTTGTTGTTAACACGCTGAATCCCAGCAGTACTAAAATTCACTGCATACACTGTTGCCCTCACCATCGCAGCTGCATGTTGACTTGGTGCATGCGTTCACGGGGCACCGCCATCACCGGCCGGCCGCTTGCTGGTTTTGATAACAGATATTCAGTGGTTGGATCACCAGAGCCAGATTCCCTCTGCTCTCTTTCCAGCTGGTCCAACATATCCCTGAGGCCAGTTTAAACTACCAGAAGGTTCCTCCAGGTTCTGCTGCCGTCTCGGGCCTGGACGCGAACATGAATGAGCCGGAGCCCGGTTCTAGGCAACGCCGTCCGTGGAATCGTGAAGAGGTCACTGTCTAATAGCACTGAGGCTACGTTCATACTGCAGCTCAGTGTGTCCCAAAGTACTGTTTTTACTGCCGTACATGATTTACCCATTAACATCCCCCCCACCCCAAAATATGCTCAATATATCAACAGGTTCAAAGCTCATCCTTTTACATTTTTAAAATCATAAAACATTAATTTTAATACTTACCAATTAATCTTCTTTCACAGCCACCGACCTGATCAGAAAGCCGTTAGTGTTTGAGTAGAGGGACTCCTGTCGTGGGTCGACAGTTAGCCTCATGAACAGTCTTTGATTGTTCGGTATCATCCTGATCCATTGGGCTGTTGTTGAAAGCTTCAATGTTCCCACTTCTCCAGCTCCTTCCTTAAAAGTCCACAAATATTCTCAACATCATCTAGTTTTGAACACGTTTTATAAACAGCTGCATCAGATTTTTAAACCGGTGAACTAGCCTGCTACTATCGCCCCCTGGAGACTTTCCCATTTATTTCAGCCAGTACTAGATCAAACAAGAAGTCCAATATTAACTTAATCTTCGAGTCTCAAAAGTGAAGATGCTAAAGTTTGTCCTCAGCGTGATTCCAGAGATCATTGAGGTTTTAAAGAGAGCAGGAAAGCGATAAGGAAAGGTTTTTGATAATTCGACCAGCGTTTGTTTGTTTGTTTCTGCACCAATGAGCTGCTGTAATGGATGGATGGATGGGTAGATGGACGATGGATGGATGGATGATGGATGGATGGATGGATAGATGGATGGATGGATGGATGGATGGATGGATGGATGGGTAGATGGACGATGGATGGATTGATTGATGGATGGATGGATGAATGGATGGGTAGATGGACAATGGATGGATTGATTGATGGATGGATGGATGGATGGATGGATGGATGGATGAAATACACAAAGATAAAGGTCCAGATGGACCACCCTCCGCAGACAGATCGAACCAAGACAACAGTGTGAGAGCTGAGCCTGCAGTGTGAACATATCCATCAGTTTAACAAACTCAACCCCACTGACACTGCTGCAGTTAGTTTTGGTGTGCTGGGATGTAAACCACTGTGATGCCAGAGGTTCAGGTTCCTGCTGGGTTTTCACCTGGTCCCCCTCCCTCCCTCCCTTCCCCTCTCTCTCTGAACAAACTCTTTCAGGTGATTCTGGACAACCTGATGCTGAACCCGGTGTCTCAGCTGTCCCAGGCCATCCGGGAGAACACAGAGCAGCTGGCCGAGAAAATGAAGTAAGGAACGAGACGATGAGACTGTGGCAAAGAATTCACTGTTTGTAATAACTGACCCATCAGCACCAAAAATGTGAAGTGTGTCCCTGTTGTCATAAAAACAAGTTAAAGGTTGAAGTGCTTATGTTTCAGACGGTTAAGTTTGTGTTTTGTTGGTCCAGTTGAGAAAGTCCTGACCTCTGGTGTTTATATCAGAGCTTTTCTTGGTCCTTATTGTGGTTTCATTTTTCACTCGTACTGACCTCACTCTGTGTTCGTCTGTTCTCAGGGTTCTGTTCCAGAACAAGGCCGATGTCTGGGAGGAGATCGAGGCCAAGATCAACGCAGA